GTCAAGCAGAAAAGCTCAAAGATTCATATTACCAAAAAAACACTTCCAAATCCACCAAGAAAATTCAAAACACTTTTTTTTTTTTTTTTACTCTTCTCCTTTTTTAAAGATTCTATTCCGCATATCATTTATCCTCCACCACAACAATAAGAAAACTCTCTTCCGCCTCCCCCCCCTCACCTCCACCCCGCTATAGTACTGTCCTACTACTTTCCCCACAGTACTATAATACTTTCCTCCCAGCTCCTATCCTCAAGCTTAACCATGGTCCAAGCTCACACACTCACGAAATCAGGCACGGTGAAGAAGGGCCCAGAACCGTCAGCCAACTGCAGGAGGTGTTCGTCGAGACACTCGTCCGTAATGATCTTGTCCGGAGCATTGTTGACGCAGAGACGGAACTCGAAGTGCCCGATGTGGCTGGTGGTTAAGTCGATTTCGATGGTGATCACCTGAAGAGGGAATTGGTACTGTGGATGTGTGTTGTTTTTTTATAAGAAAATGTTGTATTAGTTGTATTGTATTAGTGTCTTTATTAAACTTGTTGTGTCAAGATGGGGTAGTGGCGGTGTGATTTTTGTATTGATGCGTGTGGATCTCTTCCTCTCTCTCTCTCTCTCTCTCTCTCTCTCTCTATCTATCTATCTATCTATCTATCTATCTATCTACCTACCTACCTATCTATTTATTTATCTATCATCTATCTATCTATCTATCTATCCCCATCTATCTTTCTATCTATCCCTATATATCTTTCTATTTATCCACGTAACAATCTACCCATCTATCAGTCTATCAGTCTCTACCTTTCAGTCTACCTCTCTCTTAGATGGACCACACGCGACAGACCAAAATACCTATCCGTTGGTGAAATTAGATTTATTTATCTTACTATTTATCTATTTATTTATCCATCTATCTATCTATATATCAGTCTACTTATCTACCAGATGGGCCACACGCGACAAACCAAAGTACCTTGTCCCTTGGTGAAATCATTGGTGATGAGACCCTCTCTCTCTCTCTCTCTCTCTCTCTCTCTCTCTCTCTCTCTCTCTCTCTCTCTCTCTCTCTCTCTCTCTCTCTCTCTCTCTCTCTCTCTATATCTATCTGTCTATCTATCTATCTATCTATCTATTTGTCTATCTATCTATTTATCTTTTTGCCTATCAACCAGATGGGCCACAGATCAAAGTACCTGTCCCTTCGTGAAATTAGCGGTGATGAGGCCCGTCCCGTACGTTCCTCCGGCCTCGTTGTCTCGGGGTTGAGGGTCGGCCCAATTGTCGCCGCAGACCCCGCACTTGCCATCGTTCTGTCCGTACTGGATCTGTAAAGGCGATATGGAGAGGTGAGGCGCCTTTTTAGTATGGTAGAGCCGTTTTACGTCGTGCTATTGGAGACTTGCTGCGATTGGTGGCTATAGGTTTATATAGGATTAATGCAGACGTGTTTCCATTGGCTTTAACGAAGTTGAACAGGTGTAACAGTTTTTTTCGGATTCAGTGAAGATATAATGGTACAGGAACAGAAGCTATGAAGCATAAGGAATCTTCCCACAATAAAAGGAACATATAAACTGTGCTATCATGAGTTCTTGAACCATCATGAACTTTTACACCATCAAAAGATTTTGTACCACCATGAATTCTTGTGCCACCACGAACAAAACGTACCCCGAAGCCCCCGCAAAAGAGCTCATTATCGTTGAAGTTCTCTGGGGTGTCGAAGCCGAGCCTCCAAGCTGACGACCTACTCGGAGGGTACATCAGCCGCCCGTGACCTAGGACGCCGACGGCCACGCAGAGCAAGGTCAGGCCGAGTCCCCATACTAGCGATTCACGAGAACGAAGACCCATTGCGAGGGACTTTGTATTTTTTAATTACAGTAATAAATATCCTGGCGAACCCGCCTGTATATATATATATAACTAAGTTTACCCCTACGTGAGATAGTGTTATCTCCAGGCTGGGAGTCGAAGCACCTGCGGTCTCATCAGTCGTTTTAACATGTGACTTGAAAAGATAAGTAAATGAAAAACTTCTCTCGACAAGAAGACTTTAATTGTGGAAAAAATATACTTCGTCTCATAACTCATTTTGTAAATAATACTGAAGTTCATTGGAAATGAACAGCTGTTGAATACTATAAGATATGGGAATGGCCAATTCTCGGACTTTATTTAAAATTCACCTGATCATTACACAATAATCAGTGTTCCTTGTTAGACAGAACATATTCCATTCTCATGCTGTACCACTCAATGCCGGGATAGTGTACGGTATGGTACCATGGGTGGTTCGTTGACTCTACACTACCATGGCTATTGTCACTGAAAGACTTCGGGTTCATTCACTGTGCTGTGGGTCTTTCTGTAGGCGTCAAAGGATGTCTCAGAGTGAGTATTCACTTCCAGAACACTGTCCTTTCTTCCTCCAATGTGCGAAAAATTGTGTCTCTCTCTCCCCCTCTTCCCCTTTGCCCTTGTCTGTCTGTCTGTTTCTGTTCTTGTCTCTCTCTGTCTGGTTGTCTTCCTCTCTCTCTCTCTCTCTCTCTCTCTCTCTCTCTCTCTCTCTCTCTCTCTCTCTCTCTCTCTCTCTCTCTCTCTCTCTCTCTCTCTCTCTTTTATTCTTTTTTTCTCTCTCTCTTTCAGTCTCATAAAATGTTTCAAAGGTTCGGTTTGATTATTGTTTTTGAATGAAATATAATTAGTAGATTCTTTATAGTGTAACTTTAGCAAAGGATTTTGATATGCAGACTGAGTTCATAATTCTGTTGACATTCCCTTGTGTCGTGGACCGTGGTACAAGCATTTCAGATCTTGCACAGAACATTATCAAAACTACTAAAAATAAATATTTGCTGAGACCGAAGTCTACAAGCGTTTACAACCACTACTTCTAAAGCTTAGTTATCACTGAGCCATTTCGTAGAGATTAGAGTTATGGAAACAGGGTTTGATTCTGTTACCCTATACGGGGCGTAGGTATCTGACCTAAGTGAAAGTAGAGGTAACCTTGTCCTACTTTTCGCTCGTTTTACTACTTCGAATCCAATTTCTAAGTGATAATTTATGCACTGAGCCCTCAATAATCCCGTCTTTCTTTTTAAATACTGTGAATGAGTTTTTGCTTTGCTTTTGTTTTTCCTTCGTAAAATCCGTTATAGTTCCAGTGTTAATTGTCGAGAATGCTTTATAACTTTCATGATCCGAAAGAGAAGCGGTCTCTGCAGATCAGTGGATGAGTTTCATACTTGAATAGCTGGGAATTGATTCGAGCTGCCTATCTATGACAAATTTTGACGGGGAATCAGTGTGTATAGCTCTTCAATTCCATTTGTTGTCAGAGATTCCTTCAAGCGTCTGTTGGATTTATAGGTTTGTGGGATGAAATGATGGAATGGGAGATGGTCTGAACAGATCGCTTTTTCAGTATCTTTTTTTTTTCTTTTTGATGAGGGATTAGGGAATTGTAGATTAGTTCTGGGATAATAATTCATTGTTTTTTTTGTTTTTTTTGTCTGTGTTCCATTAGATGTAACATGGTGCTCAGTATATTTGTTATTCAAAATGTTTTCTTAATTGTTACAAGGTAAATATATCGAAGCATACGTACCTCTGATATTCAATCGTATTTCTTAAATGCGTGTGGATTCCTTGATTTTCGTTAGTTTCCGTTCAGTATCATTAATATTGATGGGTTAAGGACACAGAGAGATATTAGTGCAACAATTTTTTTTTTTCTTTCCGTCACATTCCAGTGAATATCTTGAACAGGGTAAATGCAGTAATAAACATCATGAAGTCATTTTTTAAAAATACGTGATACTTCATTGGCGTATATGTTTGTTCGTGTTTGTACACTTCCAACTCCATTTAAGATAACAGTGAAATACATGTTTATCGTGTCTGCAACAATTCATCATTTATCAGCCAGACGCGTATAAAAAAGACACTTGTTTACATCATTTCCAAAGCCTTTTTTCAACTATAGTGAATGTGATTACTGTTTCACGATAATTTGTTTTTGTTTTTTTTATTTTGAATTTCTGTTTTTTCGACGTTATTGTAATGGTCTCTTAGTTGTTCTATCGTCTATCGAACTTATGTATTGGGAAAAAAGAAAAATAAGTATAATCCTTATTTCGAAATATTTATCTTTGTACCCTCATGCATAAACAACAGTAAAAACATGTATATTAAAGTTTTTATCTCTCTATCAAACGTATCTATCCCAGGTATAAGTATATTGTTTATTGACGTGATATAGCAACTGCATTATCTGTTAAAGTGTTTAATGCGTTGTGAATTGAGGTGAGTATGATATGAAATAATAAAAAAAAAAAATGTAATATCGTTTATAGTTGTAACATGCTTCCATTTTTTCATCTTTATTTCTGAATATAATTTGTATGTTCGTATCTTCTGTATGAATATTTCTAACGTTAGGATAAAAATGCTTTAAATCAATTCTGTAACATAAACATTTAATTGAATTCTTTAACATGTTTTCATTCTTCATATTAATGTTTATTTATTTCAACTTAATACTTTAAACAAGAACATTTCAGCTTAATCATTTTTTCGCGTATTTTTTTCCGAATGTAACCATATTTTTTTAGTATAGCTAAATATAATAATTAAGAAATAAATCTTGCCGGGTAGCTTAAGACATATATTTATTTATCTTCTTGCATATATATATTTTTTTCTTCTCCTCTTTCTTCTTCTTCTTTCTCTTTCTTTCTTTCTTTCTAATCGGGTATACACTTGTTTTCTTACATATTTTTTTTTTATCTCCTTAAGACATGATTTTTTGTCGCGGGGCAGCTCAAAATTCCTTTAGTAAATGCCGATATCAGCGCAGCCTCTGAAGATCTCCTGGTCGCCGCAACCCAGGTCGGAGGTGCCGTCTCCGCAGTCTCCCCAGGAGTTACCTATAATTATTATCATTATTATTAGTAGTAGTATCATTATCATTCTTATTATTATTATTAT